AAAGCAGCCCCCCCGTCGTCCCCCCAGTCTCCCGCCGCGGGGAGCGGGGCTGACGCCAGCGCTGCAGCCAGGAGCACCATCAGCCGGCCGAGGCGTGGGGCAGGACGGTGCATCTGTGGGGAGAGATGGGGCTTGGTTACCCAGCATGGCAGGGGGCAGCGGGTCGGGAGTGGGGGGCACCGGCTCTCGGCCCCAAGGGCAGGCGCTCAGGGCGTCCAGCGCCTGCATCCCAGGGCGGGGGCCTGCCGGACCGGCGGGGCCCCAGGCCAGCCGCGTGGCCTCTCTGCGCCTTGCCAGGCCCTGAGATGCCTGGAATATTTTTGCATGGAAAAATCAACAGCGGCAGGGCCGGGCCTGCCTGCCGGGAGCTGCACGCCACCAGCCCCTTGCCACGCTCCCGGGAGCTCTGCCGGTCCGCAGCTCCCCTGCAAGGACCCGGAGCCCGCGGGGGACCCCTGACGCCGTGCCAAGCCCCAAAGGCATGAGGTGAAACCCGCCCACGCTCCATCCCGACACGGCGCAGGATGCCTGGGCTTTGGGTGGGCCGGTGGCCGCAGCGGCACCATCGCGGCAGCTCCCGGCGCAGGCCTACACATCATCCCACCGTAAATCATTAGGCAGTCGCAAGCTTTTCCGGCCGAACCGCAGGGATAAACACGGCTCTCGAGCAACGGCAGCTGTCGGCGTCCCACCAGCAGCTCTGGCATCCGAGAGGAACCGGTGCTCTTCTCCCACCCCAGCTGCCGGGCGGGACCGGGGTGGAAAAGGCATTTAAAAACAACCCCCGAGGGGCAGTGTTAAGGGGAGGCGGGGACCAGCCGCGGTCCTCGATGCCCAGACTACGGCAGGCTTTAAGCGGCTTAACAACAGCACGGGACGGAGCAGCCGGGGGCCCCTGAGAGCCTTTCGAGGTGCCGCACATCGTTAGCCCTGGGAGGTCTGCACACGCGATCCAGGTGACAGACCTGGAGGCGACCCACAGCTGTGTCTTTCAGGGTCTCTGCAAGAGAAAAGCTGCTCTGGTCCTTTTTGGGAGCCACAGAGAGAGGGAAAACGAAGCACCAGCCTTTCCCATGGCACGGGTCTACCCAGGGGCATCACGGGTCACCCAGCACAAGGTCCCTAATCTCTCCCCCTGGCTCTCTAATCACCTGGCAGAGCAGTTTACCCCGGGCTCGGGCACACCGAGGGAGCTGGGAGACATGCCAACAAAGCCTGCTCCAGACTCCACGCAGAGCACAGGGATTAGCCGGCCCGGCCCGGCACGGCACTGGCTGCAGCTCCCCTTGGAGCCAGGTCTGCGAAAGGTCAAGGCAGAGAGAGGCCCGGGCGGCAACCCCAGAGTTGCCGGAGCTGCTGGCTGGCCATGGGCGCTGCCCTCACCCCCAATAGGGTGTGTACGACCCACTGTTCCCATTGCACAGATGGGTAAGTCGAGGCCCAGGAAGCTGTGGAGGAGGGGGCTTGTCCTACAGTTACTCTGTGGCATAGGTCTAGTCTCCTGGCCCCCACCCTGTGTGCACTCTCTCCCTTGCCCCAGGTGTCAGGATGACGAGTGTGCCAGGTCTCTGCAGCCGGGGTCTCCTTGTGAATGGCACCAGGGCCAGCGCAGGGACGGGCCTGCCCCCTCGGCCCTGTGGCAGGGAGACCAAGAGACACGTCACCAAGGGGGACAGGGGACGTGGCCGGGGACCTCCCCGAGGAACTTCCCTATCGCTGGCGTGGGGTTCACGGGGACGCCCTGGGGATGGGCGACACAGCGAGGGTCTAGCTCCCTAATGGCGTGAGACCTGCACACACGCATGCAAACACAGGTGCACGCTTACATGCCCGCCCATTCACACACGCTCATGTGCATACACACATACAAATACATACACGCACACATATGTGCACACATACACACGTGCATCAATATCCACAAGCACATGAACTGCACACCCACCCACTCATACATGTACATGCACAAACATGCTCATAAACACACGTGCGCTCACACATGCTCATAAACACATGTGCATGCTCATAAATGCATGCGTGCACACATGCTCATAAACACATGCATGCACTCCTGTGCTTACAAACATGTGCAGACACACATGATTAGACACAAGCATGAACACATTTTGAACCCGAAAGCTTGCTTAATAACTATTCTCCAACCATTTGGGTTGGTCTAATAAAAGAGATCAGATTCACCCATGGAACCGTGTCTGCCTGCGTCCTTAGACCAACACGGCTACAACCCAAACCCCTGCACACATACCCGCACTCATAAACGCGTGTGCAGACACATGCACGCAGCTCCAACATGCTAACACAACACAAAGAGGCGGCCGGGCCGGGTCGGGCCGGGCCGAGCTGGGCAGGGGCCGGGCAGGGGCTCAGCAGCTGGCGGAAGAATGCCTGGCTCTGTCTGCACCAGGGCTGGTGTCACGCCGGGCCCAGGGGGTCTTCAGCCGCCGGCCTCCGCCAGGGAACAATGGGCGGCTTTCTCCCTGCCCCGAGCCCCGGCTGGGGTCATTTCAGCTCAGCCCAGCCAGGAGCTGCACCATGCACCGCGCTGCTTGGGCTCGGGCTGCCAGCGCCCGGCTGGGTGAGCACGACATACCCAGGACCCCGCCAGCCAGGCCCGCAACCACCACAGGGAGAGGAGGAGAAGCGCATGGGGAGGATTTCTGTTTCTCCATCCCCAGAGAGCGCCTTCCTGGGCCCCGGTGCCAGGGAGCAATGGTTGGGAAAGGGGACGCCGGCGAGCCCTGAGTGCGGACGTACGCGGTCCATGTGCTCCCGGGTTGGGTGTGCCCCTGGGTGCCAGCTCCAACCCCCCTGCAGCCAGCAGTGGCTTTGGCCTCGTGTCACCGCAGGACCCCAGGAGCCCGTCAGTCCTGTTCTCTGCACGGCCCCCTCCCATGTGCCAGGCAGCAGCTCCCAGCCCGGCTGCTGGGACACGTCTGCTGCTTGGCTGGGTTGTGTGTGTCGCGTTTCCAGAGCTGGAGAATGGCATGTGCACGTGTGCAGCACAGAGAACACACATGCACGCTGCCTACACACACGTGCACTAGGCACACACACTACCCATGCACACATGGCGCTATGTATACGTGCACGGCACTGTGCACACATGCTGTACATACACCCCCCACTAGTGCATGCATGTCTGCAGAGCACGCACAAACGTGCACTGCATACACATGTGCACTGTAGGTGCATATATGGATATGGCATGGAGCATACACAAGCAGCAGCACACATGTGCACAGCCTACGGGAACTGTACGTGCACATACAGCAACACGTGCATACACACATGCCACTGTGCACACGTGGCAGCACACACACACACACCTGACTTCCCACAGCCGCTATATCCCCCCTCTTCCCCTGGGCTTGGCATTGGTCCCTTGCCCCCCGCAGTGTGCCCGGCATCACAGCCTGGCACCTTCTTGTCCACAAAACCCTGGGCAGTGACTTGACCCGGGGGCAGCTCCGTGCCCTGGACACCGTGGTGAAAAGCCCACGTGTGCTGGAGACCGATGGCTGCCCCCAGCCCTCCCTGGCAGCCTGGCTGCCCCCCCACAACTCCGCAGGAGGGCACCGCAACCAGATGGGGAGAGATCGGGAGTGCAGAGGGCCTGGACTAATCACGCACACTCGACCTCCTCCTTTGGTGCCTGCCAAAGCACTTAGGCCCCGGCCACGCCTGTGGCGGCTGTCGCTGGGCACAGCTCCAGGGGGTCCGCCCGCTCGCCCGGCCCCGGGCCCCCTGCCCACGCACTGTGGGGCCAGCAAGGGAGGGGCTCCCACCACGGGCCAGCGAGACACTGAGTGCGGAGACCACAGATATGCAGAGCTGGAGGTCTGCACTAGCAGGGCTGTGTGCGTGCATGCGCATGCAAGTATATGCATACATGTGTGTGCATGCATGTGCTTATTTGACCCCAGCAGTCTTTCCTGCACGGAGTAGTGGGGCTGGACCTGATGATCTCATGAGGTCCCTTCCAGCCCTAAACGTGTGCATCTGTGAATCTTCTATGTGTAGGAGTGTGTACATGCACGTGAGTGAATGCATGCATCTGTATGCAGATGCACGTGTGTGGCCACACATCTGCATGCATGTGTGTGCATATCCATGTGTGCACGGGCAGGCACGTGTGTGTATCCATGTCTGTGCACGCTACATGCATGCATGCATGTATATCATGCGTGTGCCAGGGACATGAAGTGGGGTAATGGAGGGCTGGAGGCAGGGGGGTGCTGTATAGTCCTTGGGGCTGGTAGGTGGGCTTGCAGAGGTGCTCAGTGTGGCGAGGCTCTGGCCCGCCACGCGTGGGGCAGACACAGGGCCTCTATCCCCGCTGTCCTCCCTGTTGCAC